AAAAAAACAGAAATGTAGAAATTTTTGCAAATTTATTAAAAAAGAAAAACTGAAATATCACATGGTCATAAGTATTCAGACCCTTTGCTGTGACACTCATATTTAACTCACATGCTGTCCATTTCTTCTGATCCTCCTTGAGATGGTTCTACTCCTTCATTGGAGACCAGCTGTGTTTAATTAAACTGATTGGACTTGATTAGGAAAGGCACACACCTGTCTATATAAGACCTTACAGCTCACAGTGCATGTCAGAGCAAATGAGAATCATGAGGTCGAAGGAACTGCCCAAGGAGCTCAGAGACAGAATTGTGGCAAGGCACAGATCTGGCCAAGGTTACAAAAGAATTTCTGCAGCACTCAAGGTTCCTAAGAGCACAGTGGCCTCCATAATCCTTAAATGGAAGAAGTTTGGGACGACCAGAACTCTTCCTAGACCTGGCCGTCCAGCCAAACTGAGCAATCGTGGAAGAAGAGCCTTGGTAAGAGAGGTAAAGAAGAACCCAAAGATCACTGTGGCTGAGCTCCAGAGATGCAGTAGGGAGATGGGAGAAAGTTCCACAAAGTCAACTATCACTGCAGCCCTCCACCAGTCGGGGCTTTATGGCAGAGTGGCCCGACGGAAGCCTCTCCTCAGTGCAAGACATATGAAAGCCTGCATAGAGTTTGCCAAAAAACACATGAAGGACTCCCAGACTATGAGAAATAAGATTCTCTGGTCTGATGAGACCAAGATTGAACTTTTTGGCGAAACAAAGAGTGAAAAATTTAAAGGGGTCTGAATACTTTCCGTACCCACTGTATATGTATATGTATTTTTTAAATGGTCAAAAAAGGCACCTTTAAAAAAACACCTGGCTGTATCTGGACCATATTTGGGTTTTAATTGGTCAGTGATGATTATTTTTGTAAGTATCAGAGTAATACTCTGATTTTTGAAGTTTTTTCCGTCTGTAACCATCCGTCCGTCCCCTCCCCCCCCCCTACAGACTGAGGCAGCAGAACGCGGCGGAGTTGAAGAACGGGGGACAGAACGGGGGACAGAACGGGGGACAGAACGGGGGACAGAACGGGGGAGTGTTCGGCAGCTGGCTGGAGGACAGACACTCGAGGAAAGGACGAGAGCTGCTGCTGGACCGGGAGAGGAAGATGACTGGATGAACGGTGAGTTTTGGACTAGACTCTGAAAAGGTGCCTTCATGTGAGAAAGAGAGAATTCTGTACATGTTAAAATGTCTTTAATCAGACCTGCAGCTGAATTACGTTCACTATCAAGACGAGCTCTAATTATTTCTTAGTTAAAAGATTAATCACTTATTCTATCAAATGTCAAAAAATGACAAACGACCTCCTTCTAAGTCATGAAGTGAAGCGTGAATTGCATTTTTTAATCTGAGCAATATTTCTGTGGAGGAAGAAGAGTTAACAACAGAGTGTGAGCAGAGGGCTTCCTGTTGTTGTTGTTGTTGTTGTTGTTGTTTACTCACCGGAACACTTCTTATCCTTGAGCCCAAACATGTTGAATGTGTTTCATAACTTCATCCTGAAAAAGACAAAGATGAGATTCCTTAAAAGGTTCCTCAGGTCTCAGGAGAGACTGATGGAGACTTCTGTTTGATAGATTATCGGAGGTTGTGTCCAAAACAACCTCACTGAGACCTGAACACGGTGTGAGCCGGACCGCCTCAGGTCGAGGTCTGACTGATCTGGTCCTCAATGAGAGCCACAATCTCAGAGTTTCAGTATTTCTGTAGTTATTTTAACCAAAATTACCGTATTTTTTTAAACATAACTCAGTCGTTTTGTTCACTAACCTGAGTGGTTTCTTGTGAAGACAGAAGAGTTTTTGGGGACTTTTTGTAGGAAAACGCACAAACAATGATATGATATGATTAAGATATCATACAAACCGAGACAAAAGTAATAATTGATGTTTGTAGATGGAGGTTTCCAGTCCAAAGTTTTATAAACTACCTTTTAATACTTGCATTTCTAGATAAAAGATATTATGAATGATGCATTTCTAAACTTGTTTCCACTCTATTGTCTTTATTTCACCATAATAAGTATTAATTAACCTGCACTTTACACCAACAATGAGTAAAAGCACATTTCACGCCATGAATAACCTTCTATTCATCACCAGGCCTCGGCCTGTAGCAGAGGAGCAACTCTTAACTCTCGTATCTTTTAATCCACAAGAGAAAAGTGTATTTATTGTATATTTTGAAACACAAAGTACTTTTCCAGCTACTTTATAAAATCATACTTAAGATACAATATATAACATACAATAAGATATTGATGATTGATGATCATTTCTCCACTCAGTCCGTCCAAATTCTGTCTTTAATTTATTTTTATTTCACCATAAAAAGTACGTGTGGCTGCAGGTTTCTTTCTCTTTTTGTGATTTAACGAGTCGGTCCCCAGCCCCCCCCCCCCCCCCCCCCCCCAGTATGATAGTGTTGAAGCCAACACCTCGATCCCAGGCAACAAACAGAACCCTCTCCATCCACTCACCAGTCTGTGTGTGTAGCTGTGTGAGTTTTGGCTTCAAGCCGCTCAGCAACAAACACTAAAACTTCAGGAAAATTTAGGGAAGGAAAATAAATAAAGAAGCGTTACTGGAGGCCTAAAATAGCAGCAGGACCCCCCGGTGTTGTAAAGTTTGATGGATAAAAGGCTCCGCCTGGGGCAGAGCGTGGCGACAGAGCTCCTCCTGTCAGGTTTTAACGTTTCCACGCGGCTTCGGCTTTTTTCTAAATAGAAGACGTTCAAATGATTTCCTGGAGACAGAACAGCCGTAAACAAGGCGGAGACTCGGCTCCTGACATCGGGCCGCTCTTGAGGGACTGTCGTCACTTTTGGGATGTCTTCAAAAATGAATGCTTGACAGCTGAAATCAATAATCAATATGCAGCATGTTCAAAACAGCAATGACTTCAGATTTTGCTGATATTTCCTGTCAGTAATGTCTGAAAAAGTTTTTTGTTTTTTTTAGGGCAGTTTCCTGTTGAAATCTTTCAGTTAAGTTCAATAAAAAAAAAACTCTGAAACTATGTTCAATAATATCATACTGGCGCTGTAATTACTGAGCAGAGAATCACACATCTGATTGTCTGAACATCTGGTATCTAGCTCGTCTCACAGGATGTGGTAGATGTGCTCCAGCATCTTAGGGACATACAGTATGTATTTAACTTAAAGTACATCATCTTTTATGTTCTGAATCATTATCTGTCTCTCCGTCTGTCTGTCCCTCCTTCCGTCCGCCTGTCTGTCCCTCCTTCCGTCCGCCTGTCTGTCCCTCCTTCCGTCCGCCTGTCTGTCCCTCCTTCCGTCCGCCTGTCCGTCCCTCCTTCCGTCCGCCTGTCTGTCCCTCCTTCCGTCCGCCTGTCCGTCCCTCCTTCCGTCCCCCTGTCCGTCCCTCCGTCCGTCCCCCTGTCTGTCCCCCTGTCTGTCCTTCCGTCCCCCTGTCCGTCCCTCCTTCCGTCCCCCTGTCCGTCCCTCCTTCCGTCCCCCTGTCCGTCCCTCCTTCCGTCCCCCTGTCCGTCCCTCCTTCCGTCCGCCTGTCCGTCCCTCCTTCCGTCCCCCCTTCCGTCTCCGTCCTCTCTGCATCATCTTTAGTCGTCACAGAAGCTGTGATATGAACCTTTTCTCATTGATTGAAGAAACATTTAAAGTTAAAAGGCGACTTCTGTATTATTTCAATCCTGGGACCTCATCGTCACCGTACGTCCACTAAACATGCTCATCTGAGTCATATTTTATAATAATCTTTTATAATGATATAATTATAATGTCATGTTTAATATGTTTCACTTGGAAACAGGGGAACATGGTTTCCAGAGACTGTTTTTTTCTTAATTCCCGTATATGTAGAGATTCTTCTTTTATCCATGTGGTCCACGTGAGGCCTTCAGTCGTCCTGGCGCTCATCTCTGCTGGACTAGGCCTTCGGGTGGTGTTTGTTTTAAGCCCCTCCAGTGCCAGCTGGGTGGGGTTTGTCACACTGGATGCCAGCAACGGGCTCACATCTCAGTGATGCAGCTCTGGTGGTGTGGTGGAGCCCCTCCCGTCTGGTACGCCGGGGAGAATAAATCAAACATCACGTATTCTTCTGAGCCGCTCCTCAGCTCAGACCTGTGCTTCAGAGGTGAGGAAGGAGAATGTGAGATATTGAATAGGAGTTTGTTTAGGGATGTGTGATGAAATGAAAAGCAGAGATGTTGTTTGTATGTATGTTGTTTGTTTGTTTGTTTGTGTGGATGCATGTTTGTGTCGACCTCGGATCACCGCATTGACCTCGTCTTTTTCCTCAACGAGAGCATAAAAAAAGGAGAAAAGACGTTTTTCACTCTTTGCATTCTTCTGTTTGCATTTCAACAAAATGCTTTTTATACTCGTGTACAGCTGATGTTGAAGGCACACATCTGTTATATTTAACTCTGGGTTTAAAGTGTTTTTTAAAATAGAACATATTATCAAACACCTATTTTATAAAAGTGTGTAAGAAAGGTGTCAAATAAAATATCTCGTGAAAACAGAACACAAAACTATAACAACATAACTGAATTAAAGCAAAATGTTAATGAAGGATCGTCTCATATTCAGCTCTCATAACGGGAATTAAAGAGAAGTTATTCAACCATTAAGCAAAACATTATCAAAATGAAACTTACGTCCTCCTGATATGATTCTGTGTTAATTATAACGTGTTTTCGGGGGAAATGGAAGATAAAAGTGCCGAACATATCTGTTATGAATATTAAGTTAACGGCACTGAAATCAATAACCGAGAGGTGGCTGCAACAAAAAGTGTCTATGAATTACAAAGTAGAGAGAGGTGACGGAGCATACCGAGTGGATGGAGCAAATGCATCATAAAATAAACTGTGTGTGTGTGAAGACCATGAAGAGATGCAAAACTACCAAAAAGAGACAAACACACCAAATAGAGACAGAAAAACCAGGAAGAGATCCAAAACGTCTACAAAAAGATGACAAGAAGATACATAAAGACTACAAAGATACCCAAAAGAGAAGCCAAACATTCACAAAGAGATTTAAGAAACGACCTGCGAGCAACAAATCTGTGACTTGTGTTGACGGAGGAGTCGGAGTCCTTTGTCTCAGCTGAACCATCAACTGTCTGTTGCTAATAGAACACAAAGTACCGATAACGTTCTCTCTTTTCGTCAACATTGAGTTGTCTTGACCGCCTTGTTTGAATAAACTTTATGAGATTTGTCAGTGGACAAAACTCAGTTCATTGTTTCTAGTCGTTGCATGAGGAATATTAACACGCGTAGTGTCACGGAGTCTGTCCAGCTGAAATCACACCTTTGTTCATTTTATTTTTGTATTTTGGTCGACACATTGTGTGGGTCAGATTCGGGGTCAGAGCAGCAAGATGAGACTCATGAAGAGAGATGACATCGCCCAGATTACATTAAGGAGCTGAAGCGATGGATGGCGCAAAAACAAATTCCAGATTGTGTGTGTGTGTGTGTGTGTGTGTGTGTGTGTGTGCCATCCATTGTCCTGTCTCACTAATCACAGCAGCTCGGGGCTTCATTTAATCAGCAGAGCCCATAATAACAGATCAACAGTCGTAGCTTATTGATGAAGGCTGAATTGCCGAAATGCTGCAGTGCCTCTCCCTCCCTGTCATTGTTATAATATATATTTATTTATATATATATTTATATATAAAACACTGAACGTTACCCGTTTCCAGGTAACCGCCATCTGAAAATCAGAATAACAATAATTGGTTTTAATTTCGTGTCATCAGTTTTTTTTCTTTTTGTTCCAGTAAAAACATAATTAATTTGGAGGCAGAATTGATTTTCAGTGACTCATCATCCTGATGTTGCATCACCTGTTGTGTCAGTTCAGTGCATTCGAATGGAAGAAAGATAAATACATGAAAGTAAAAAGCCTTTACATTTAAATTAAGTACTTTTTAATGAAATAAAACTATTTCATCAGCCATTCTGAATCATCTGACATCCTTTAAAATGACGAAACTCGGACACAAAAATACAAGGAAAAGATGCAAAAGGTCAAAAAAAGACACATAATGACCACAAAGAAATGCAAAACACCTAAAAATCAATGTTAAGACATCACGAAGACCCAAAAGTACTTAAAATAGATGCAAAACGACTACAAAAAGATACAAAAGGACTTCAAAGTTTCACAAAACTGAAGCAAAACAATCACAAACGGATTTAAAACGACCTGCGAGCAACAAATCTGTGACTTCTGTTTACGGAGGAGGAGTTATTCAGATTCATTCGTTGTGTTGTAATGTCTGTTTTTGTGTCAGGGTTTTGTTTTTGTTTACTTGACCAAGTGATTTCTTTTGGATTATAAAGTTGAACTGTATTCTCATGAAAGGTTGTGAAATATTTGGGACAGAAGTTATCTGCATTCATGGAGTCAGTGAGCGACGCATCTGACCAGGTTCTTACATAAAATTCAACTTCGTAGTTTCTTCTGTAGGTTGTTGAAAAATGTGTGAATCTCTAAAACAAATAAATGTTGCACTTAGTGGTTGTAAACCTTCATCCGGTGTGTTTCCTGCTGCTTGTGTGCGTGAAGGTAATGAAACGAACCCGCTGTCGGCCATATTGGACCGTCAGCTGTTGTATAGCAGCGTCTGACTGAACAGCTGATTGAACAGCTGTTCACGGTTCCTCCAGCTGATCTTCCCTCTTTTCTCTTAAACGTGGAGCTGAGTTGAGTTTCAGTATAATAACAGTGAGTTAACGGAAACATGTTTTAGGAACCAGACGCACAAAAACACTGAAATCAAAGAACTAATTGTTTTTGGCAAAAGATAGAAGAAAATATGACTTTGACAAAAGATTAGCAGAAACAGATGCTTTTTATATGTACAGAGCTAATCCGCAGACGGCTTCAGTTCTGACATGAAATCCTGCATCCAGACAGAGAAAACACTTAGTTTTAAACCTGCAGCAACAGATTTATTTGGCCACTTACAGGAAACCTCATGACCTTTATTCAGTTGATATCTGTACGTAGCAGTTACAGAGCGACATGATGATTCATCAGGAGTCTTTGTGTTTGTGTCACATGAGGAATTTAACTCCAATATTCTCTCTTTTAGCTGTCTTTGGTCTCCACCAACTCCCGAGGCAAATATCAGTATGTTTAGGTACTAAATGTTCCGCTATGTTCACCAGCTGAATCCTATCTTACAAAAAAAGTTACTCTTCCTTTTTTGTGCGTTTTCCTACGAAAGTTAAGCAACACGTGTCAATTTCAGCTCGTTAAATGCATAAAGTCTTTTCAAAATAAACTTCTGTCTTCAAAGGAAACAACTTAGTTAGGTTTAGGAAAAGATCGTAAAATACTTAGTTAGGTTTAGGAAAAGATCGTAAAATACTTGGTTAGGTTTAGGAAAAGATCGTGAAATACTTGGTTAGGTTTAGGAAAAGATCGTGAAATACTTGGTTAGGTTTAGGAAAAGATCGTGAAATACTTGGTTAGGTTTAGCAAAAGATCGTGAAATACTTAGTTTGATTCAGGAAAAGATCGTGAGAAATAAATTACATCTCATTTCACACGGGGCTCGGTCTCTTGGTGGAAAGACCGTTTGTTGTACTTTGTTTGACAAAAAATACCCAATAAATCCCTTCAACATTTTCTTACTGTTGACGTTCTGTCCGAATCTTAATATATAAATGCAATTAAAGCGACTAAAGCTCCCTCCACTATTTGAGAACAACAGAGGGGATGTGTGTTACCGTCCATTGTCCTGTTTCTGCAATCACAGCCTCGTTTAATCACTCCCACTCAAAACACAACTTTAACACACTTTCTCTCTCACATGGATTAGGAGAGAGAGCGCCGGCCGGTCGGGTTCCGCCGTCGATTATTATTTCACAATGTGTCCCAGTTCCCAGCAGCACCAGGCGACCAGGAACACTGTCTCCTGGCACACAGTTGCTTTTTAATCCCCCCACCACCTCTCTCTTTAGTTTAGTTTTTTTGTTTCCTCTTATTTTCTAGGTGGGAATGATCTGTGTTCTCGTGAAACTGACGTTTCTCTTGTTCAGAGAGATGTTGTTGACAGTTTCTTTCCTCTCTTCTGCTCCTCTCAGGTGCGAGTAGGATTTGCCGCCGCTGCTGCTGGAAAAGAGGAAAAAGAAAAACGAGGTGGACGGAGAATGGAGCGACATTTTCTTTTTTTTTTAATTATCAGATAATGTAATTTTTGTTCTTTTAATTTTAGTTATTTTATCTCTTGATTGTCGCATCCCAGCTCACACACAACATCGTCCTCAGCGTTCTCGACCTGGCGTGACCCCCCCCCCCCTCCATGGTCACACAACAAAAGCACGAGTTTAAAAAAAAAAAAGACGGCGGGGGGGCTTTTATTTTATTTTGGCGAGTCGTATACACGCTGCCAAATTGAAAATCAGAGGAGTGCAAGGAGAAATTCAGGGTCACAATCTGTGAAGATAATTGAAGCTGCCCTCTCTTACGCTGGTGCTTTCTTTTCATTGCTCACCCTGATGTGAGTTTGACACTAGTTTTACAAAACAGGAGCTTAATCTTCACCGAGTATAAGCAGAGACGAGGCTCGCAAAACATCAGTTATTCTACTTGTAGCTGTAACAACAAGTAGAATTTGTGTTTTTCTTCCCCAAATTTCCTTTCAGAGGCAGATTATCTGTACTTCTACTCAATCAACAGTGCTGAATAAGTACAAGACACTGTTTCATCAGGAGGCCTGGAAGTCAGTTTAGGTCAAATACAAGAAGTAAATAAAAACTTTAAGTCGCCTTGCTCCCAGTTTCATATACATACTAGTACACTGAGTACTAATATTGACTGTACTACACAGATTTATCATTATACAAAAAAAAGATCAAAGATCAAAATCGATGCAGCAGAACAAGAGATATTGTATTTATTATTCCACACCGACATTACCCACAATGCAGCTTGACCACAGACAGTTTGAGTAGATTCACGTGTGTTATGCTAGTAGCTAGTCACTGTGAAGTTAGCTTTAAAAAGTTCATTTCTGAGCCATTATAAAAAACATAATAAGCCAAATTATAACGGTTTCTGTCAACAGACAAAGTCATTTATTGATTCTCTTTTATTTTTCTTCCATGTTGCATTGTGGGACGATCGTGTCCTTGAACGCCAATTTTTTCGAATGTGAATAAGTTAAAATTCAGAAGAATTAGTAAAAGAGAGAGAGAGAACGGAGAACATTTCTTTAACGTTCATTACGTTCACGTGATTAGTTGGTTATTGATTAATTGCTCGTTTAATTATATGTATCTTTAAGTTTGAACTTTCCCTTTAAAGAACAAACACGTTTCATGATCCGCACTTCACTGTAAGTTCCTTAAAAAAACAGAAAACTGAGCTTCTCCTTTAAGTCGCTCTGAAGGAGGGAGGGGGGGGAGGAGGAGGATTAGCGGGTCTTGAACTCTGGCCTGGACGGATGTTTTTCGCGGTTGAGGTGATGTTGTGCGTGACCTGCGTTGTCGTGAAGCGGAGGGTGAACCGGAGCACTGAATGTGTGCAGCAGCAGCAGTCAGACTGTAACACACCGACGACAACGACAGGACGGATTTAAAACAAACAAACAAACAAATGCCGAGTGCCAAAGCTGGGATCTGCTGCATTCTCACTACACTTTTGAAAAAAAAAAAAAAAAGGGTTCTTCTTCTCCTTCTTGTAAATAGGATATGTATGTTTGTTTGTTTTGTTTTTTCTGTATTGCTACAGATTTGTAAAATTTTTGCGGACAAAATTTTTGTTACATTTTGTAAAATGGGAGCAATTCGTCCTCCGAAACCCTCCCCTCTCTCTCTCTCTCTCGGTTTCTCTCGCCTCTTATTGTTTTTATTTTTTTGTTTTATTTGTTGATGGACTTTTTAAAAAAACTAAACGCTGCCAGCTGTGGAGCGTGTGCAACGTTTTTTATTATTATTCTCCGTCTCTTTTTTTTTTTTTTTTTTTTTTTACTGAACCAGAGTGGAACCACTACAAAAAAAACGGACCAGTTGGCAAGACTTCAGTCACTTCTTCTTCATCTCACCGGCACTGGACTTCCGCCCGCCACTTCCCCGCTGAGAGGAGGAGGGAGGCAGAGGAGGGAGGCAGAGGAGGGGGGACTTTGCTTCACATCAAATCAGATAAAAAAAAAAAAAGCATTCAACAAAAAAAAAGCACCTTTTGGACCTTTTTTTCTTTTCTATTTTCTTTTCTTTTTTACCGTGCTGAAGTGAAGTGAAGTGCTATTATTATTATATTATTATTAATATTATTATTGTAGCCACTCTGTCTGGAACCCTTTTTTGAAGAAAAAGGAAAAAAAAACAGAAAACAACTTAAGCCAATCTGCACTTCTTGTTCCGACGAACATGCTCGTACGACCAAGTGACTGTCGTTGATCTTTGTTTAAAAAACGGATGAGGAACAAACAAAAAACGTTAAACTGTCAAAATGGTGGCAAAGCGCAGAAGGATTCAACTGTAACGATCACAACACACTCAACAGTGTAAACCCTACGATCCAGAATCATGCTGCCTGAATCAAACTCTCATCTCTCTCTCTCTGTCTCCCTCGTTTCTCTCCCTCGCTCGATCACTTTGTCCTTTACTTTCTCTCTCGTCTATCTTCTGTTTTCCCTCCTTTGTTGATTTGTTTTTCTCTCTCTCTCTCTCTGTCGTCCTGCACACCATCAGACACGCCTGTAATAAAACAAAACAAAAAAAGATAAATAGCCTTTTATTCAATACATAACTACATGTTGGCTTGGTAGGCTTAGTTGAAACTAGTTCCATTCCGACAGAAAAAAAACAAAAAACAAAATATGAGCTTCTTTATGTATTGCTTCTGCCGCTGTAGTGTCCTGGTCAGATTTAAAGATGATAAGACTACATATATCTGAAATACTGTATTTACAAATGCACACCAGGGCTGGCCTCAACAAACAAACAGGGGGAGGGTTTTCAACTCCGTCCATTGGGGGGGTGGGGGTTTGTACTGCTGGTTTGTATCAAAATGCTTGTTTCTTCGCTTAAAGTCTTCATAGTTTTTAAAACTCGGTGGCGTTCAGCATCACCGAAGCTGTCAGCTCTGCGCCGCTGCACATCCTTCTGCAAAAGAAAACGCTTCAAAAGAAAGCAGCGCTGTAAAGATGGTTGACGCACAGCCTTAGAAAGCTTCCAAGAGACTTTTATTTTTGCAAGTCTATAGTTTTAATTGAATATTTTTCTGATGAATGATTGAATGTATTTGCTTCTAGGAGTTAAGTAAATGTTGTGGGTTTACTGTCTGAATGTTTGAAGAGGAAGGAGTCGAGCACACGAGTCTTTTTAAAGAAATCAGCAAAGCTGTTCAATCAATAACATCCACAAACTGTGACGCGTGGTCGCTCGGTATCAAAGTGGAATTCATCTTTTAGATTTTCCGTACGTTGTTCTCAGTAACAATTTAAAAGATGCACCAGTTTTGTTTTTATGTTGGCATTTAAAAAAAGATAATTTGCTTCAAGTTTGCGTCAAGAATTTCATGAAAATCCGTCCGGTAGTTTTATTGTAATCATGCTGACAAACAAAACCAAAATCATAATCTACTTGGTGGAGAAAAAAGTCTAAAAATGTGTTAACTTATTGTCCCGTTAGCCATTGAGCTAACTAGCTTTAGAACTGACCGTTAGCAGGCAAGCAAGCTCAGGGAGCCCGATGCTCCACCAAGCTTCATGAAAATCGAGCCGATAGTTTTTCTGTCATCCTGCTGAAAAATAAATAAAAAAACAAACCGAAAACATAACTGTCTTGTTAGCAACCGAGCTAAATAGCTTTAGAACCAACTGTTAGCAAGCAAGCGAGCTCAGGGAGTAGCGCATACAGCTAGCTTGTTCCCTGTTAGCTCGCATGTGTTAGCAGTTAGCATACAGCTAGCTTGTTCCCTGTTAGCTCGCATGTGTTAGCAGTTAGCATACAGCTAGCTTGTTCCCTGTTAGCGCGCATGTGTTAGCAGTGAGATTCGAGCACCAGATGTTTTTTGTGAGGACTACGGCTTGAAGCAGAAAAACGTCCGGTCACAGTTTTTTGGACGAACTTTTTTTGAACACGAACCTTCCTGATTTATTCGCACTGGAACAGGTTTTGTTGCTACAGGCTCGATCTCGGGGCTGAACACAGATCGACTAGTGTGCACGAGTCCTTCCTTTGTTTCATTTAAGGTCGCTATGTTTGCTCACTTTGAAGTTTATCTGTTGCGTGCACCTGGTTTTCCCGCCAAAAATACTTTTTAGCAATCATCACATTTTAGGGATGATGACATTTGAGATTTATTTAAACGTCTTGCGAAAGCAATCAATTGAATTAGTCCTCTGTAATCTTCATTTAATGTTTATTTTAAACTTTATTTATAACCTAAAAACTTCCTTTTGATTAGTCCAAAGACTTTCCTCTTTTATTTTTAGCTCAAACGTCACAGTTGTAGCAAAACAAACGGAGGCGATGCAGACTCCCTAAGATTTGTACTTGCTGTAATACACCCTGAACTTCACAACTGTAACTAACAACAAACTTCTGCACGGTGTGGACTAAATGCTTCTCGTCTAATCCAGCCTCAGCTGTTGAATAGACTTCAGGGGTCTTTATCCTTTCTCAGTCTGCAGCTGTCTCCACGTTGCTAAACCACACTTTGACACAGAAACAGAACAAAACTGAATAAATTACCCAAAAGTCAAATTTTTTTTATTTTAACAATTTCAAAGTCACTTTGGAAGCTTGAAACGTTTTCAGCTTAAGAGTCAATCGAGACGTGATTTCTACAAAGGACTTTTTTTTGGATCACTCTGTCAGAAGGTTGATTCAACCAAAAACTTTCTGCGATGCAAATCCACATGCTGTAGGTACTGACAGGGTTCATGCATTCTTTAAAACAGTGTGGATGACTGATGTACAATAATGGACAAACATGCCAAAATAAACGAAAGTATTTTAGTATCTCAACCTCTTCGAAAGGTCTCTCTCTGTTAGAGATATTCAAGCAGAGAAACGTCTATTTCTGCAGAAATAAAAATCCTGTTAGAGTCATAAAGAGTTATTATTAGATCAAACTGGACTCCCGTGTGCGAGCAGGAGGAACACTTTTCTGATTTCTTTCAGGGGGGAAACCAGGTGCACTAGATGTGTTTTTAAGGGGAGTTGAGGCCAGCCCTGCTTCATAACTGAGGTTCTGCTTCTTCTACTACTGCTACTATCAAACAACCAGCCCTGGGCACAAAAACAGGCTCGAACGCTGTTTTCAAATCCTTCCTTCAGAACTCGAGGTGCATTTGATTTTTTTAACTTCAAATACCAGCAATTTTGAGAGTCTTGAGTCGGGATCCAAAGTGGAGCACCGGCTTGTTTTCGTTTAGTTCCTGACGTGACAAAAGACACTCGTGTTAATCAGCTTGTGACCCGAAATGACGCTTCACCTCCTCAGTTCGGGCACCAGGTTCTGAGCGTCTTTGTCGATTTGTTTTTTACTTCTAATGACAAAAATAGCCATCGATATTTGTTTTTTTTTACTTCGATTTGAAAAGTATTCGAGCTCTTGTTTCTGTTGCCCAGGTCAGCAAAACAACCTGTTGATGTCTGCTGTATTTCAATAAAACACAGCCTTTTTTCAAAGGGTACTCTTCACTCTGTGTGTGTTTCTGTGTGTCGTCTAAGTCCCGCCCTAGACAGACCAATCGCAGCGTAGCATCGACATACTCGCATAGAAATAGAATAAGAGTAGAACCAGGCGGCAACCTTCGGTTCTGCCGAGCGAAGCCAATGCGGAAGTGTCCTAAAACTTTTATTTTCTCTACTGACCAGCAGGGGGCGACTCCTCTGGTTGCAAAAAGAAGTCTGGTTGTATAGAAGTCTATGAGAAAATGACTCTTCTCTCCTGATTTATTCATTTTGTAAACATGAGTTTATGGTCTCAATTACTAGTTCGTTCATTGATTGCAAAAAAGCCAACATGGCGACGGTTGTATTCCAAGATGGCGATGGCGAAATCGCCAAACTCGAGGCTTCAACACATCAGCCCGCAAACCAATGGGTGACAACACGATGACTACACCCACTTCTTATATACAGTCTATGGCCTAAACCCAATTTACCCTTCCTTAAGTCACGCCCCTCAGACACAGACAGACCAATCATAGCGTAGCATCGACACCCTCACATACCAAATAGAATAAGAGTAGAATGGACACTGAATTGTTTTCCGTGGTCATTTGACTAGTTCGAAGGAAAGTGGTGATTGTTGTTAGTTGTTATGGTGAGAACGCGCATCAGTGGGGCTGTGAAATGCCGGATACAGATGGCTGGTAAGTTAGCTAGTTAGCTTGTCCTCTGGAGCGGCGGGGAGTTTTCTGAAACCGATGTAGCATTAAAGCATGGTGAAATTAGCAAGCTAGCTAATTAACCAGCTGTTAGCACTTCTATGCTACACTAGTTACTGAAGTTATACTGCATGTATATATATGCATGCTGCTTTTGCTTTTTAATGATTGTAACTGAATAAAGAGGAACACGTTCCTTGATTTCACATCTTCTGTCTCGATGTCGTTTTACTCTGATCTGTAGCTTTAGCTTCTATCTTTACCTTTTAAACCTGTTTTCACTGCTGAATCTCTTTGACTTCCTGGATGTATGCTTCAACGCATACTGTAGACTTTTCTGTCTGCTTCTCTGAAATCGCTTTTTAATTTCTTCAAAAATTATATATTTATTCAGAGTGCAGTTAGTGACAGTGTGGGCTCCATGGTAACGACGCTCTGACCGCTTGACGGAGTAGCATCGGTGGGTGGGGCTTAGTCAAGGGTCAATTACCCACTTTATATATAAATTTATAATTTTTGTTTCCCACATTTTAAATCAGCATTAAGTGCACACTACACCTTCTGAGTCTCGTCACTTAACATCAGACATTTGTATTTTCTTGTGTTGTCCTGTCAGACTTCCTCTGTTTTGGAGTTTTCAGACTGCAGTAGCTGGAAATATAAAAACTTCCTCTCACCTTCGTTCTCTGATTAAATGAGTGAGGCGTCAGTCTTTGGGGAATTTGCCCTCAGCGTTATCAAAACAAATGTTTGAAACCAACTTACTTTCCAATTTAATTGCCATTTAATCAACTAGTC